TTTATTGGTAACGAATCTTTTTCCAATTGATTTTTTTTTTTATCTTTTTTTTTTCCTGACGGTCTTTGGATTTTTTATTTAAAGAAAAAAGTACACACAAAAAAAATTGATCATTTTTTTTTTTTTTTTGTGTGTGCATGATCAACTTCGTATTCTTCATTTAACTATCCTTTTATTTTCCGAAAAGGTTAATAAAGCCTTTTATTAACCAATAATATATAAAAAAAAAAAAAAAAAAAAATTAGAATAAATGTAATTCACATAAATTTGATAAAATTTTAGGGAAAAAGTAATATGTGTAAAAAGAAGAAATATGAAAAAATCTGAAAGAAATATTAATATAATAAATATATATTGAATGAAGAGTTAAAATAAATTTTTAGAAAATTCAATGAAATTTTGTTGTGGTTTTTATATTATTAATTTGTTAATTGCTTATTCAATGAATTTGTTAGAGTATTTAAGAAACATATTAATAATGAGCACGCGATGTTTCTTAAAGTTGCTTTGACTAATTTAATGAAATTAAATATAATTTTAATTCTATAAGCCATTAAAATTTTTTATATATAATCTACTTTACGAGCATTTATTGTTTTTAAGAGGCATTTATTTATTTTTATAAAAATCCCGTATTTTAATCAAAGATTTAAATCTTCATTAATTAGTGATTTTAATAGGATATATTTTACTTATAATGTTATAAGTAATATTTAACAGTGCAAATTCATTACTCTCAAATTAATAATTATAAACAACTGACAGAATGCAAATTAAATTATATAAATATAACAAACACGAAAAATTTATTATCTTAGTACAAAATTTTTTCATAAAAGTTCAAAGAGAAATCTATTACAAAGAAAATTTTTAGTCAGTAACTTTTTCTTTTATCATTCGACCAATTAAATTATTTTCAAAAAAAAAAATAAATATATATTTTATGTATTTTAAATTATAAGAAGAAAAACAAAAAATATTAACTAATTTTTTTTTTTATATAGCTTACATGGTGGTTTATTAACTGGGTGCTCGGTGATTTTACTGGAGTACTGAACAGATCAATTAATAAAGAGCATGTATAAGTGTCTCTACGATTTTGTCATATTTATATGTATCATTAATATGCTTTGAACGAGTAACTCTTAACTATGTTCTCTACTTCGTTGAGCATTCTTTGATTTCAATAGACATTTATTTACTTTAATAAAAATGCTTATTTTTATTAAAAATTTAAATCCTTATTGAATATCGATTATTATTTAATTGTAATTTATTTATTTCATTGTTATATGTTATGTTCAGCAATTTATATATATTGGTGTTGAATTAAGAAACATACACAATTAGTAAAAATGCAAAATAATTATACGAATATTAATTACGTGAAAATTTTATTGTCATATGTATAAAATTTTCTCTCACAAATTAAAAATATAAAAATTATGCAACTTAAACTCTTATATGTAATCATTATTATTTCTTTAAGATCTCATTTTTATTGATGCTAAATATTACCCTCGGTTTTTCTTTTTTTTTACGAATCTTTTCTTTCAATTAAATCATTTAAAAAAAAATAAATATATTTTTTTTTTTTTTACATATCACCATTTATTAAAAGAAATATATCTCCAAAAAAAAATTCAATAATTTTTTTTTCTCTTTTTTTCGCGTACGCACAACCAACTACGTATTCTTCTTATAGCTGGCCTTTCTTATTACCAAGAAGGTTAATGAAGGGTTTTATTAACCAGTGCATGACCAACTA